CACTGTGCTAAGTACGCTCTAGAGATACAAAGAAAAAACAAAAAACTGTCACTGCCCTCATGGAGCTTCCATTCTTATGGAGGAGGAAACATGAAGATGACTAGATATATACATGATATAGACAAAGTGAATAGGAGGCAATCTCAGAGGGGAAGGCTTGGCTTCGGTAAGGAGGAGGACCACCACTGAGAAACAAGGAAGGAGGTAAGCAAACATGGAGATCAGCAAAGGTCAACTGCAAAACATGGAATATGAACCGAGTCTTAACAGAAGTCAGAGGGGGGAAGGAGAGTGTGCTGGGCACAGAGGGAAGGCAGGTTGAAGGCATGGAGACAGGAGGGCCAATTATGAGCAAGCAGTCTGGTAGGGCTGGATAATGAAAGGAAATGGAGGCTGTCCATATGAGTTTACCTTGAGGATCTCAGGAGTCTGAAGGAAGGTCATTGCAGGGAAAGCATTCTTCTCTGCACCTTCCTGACTGAGAACATTAACTATCAGTAATTTTTAAAAAATGCAAATTGTACAGTAAGAACGAATTCTCTCCGTTACCTTAAATAAAATCCATCCTGATTGTTTCAAGTAATTATGGAGGGTGTTATTTCTAGACCAAGATTTTAAAGGCTTTTTGGATTCAATTTTTAAAAACCAAAAAGATTTCAAAATTCTGTAATATTGATGCAGAACTGTTACTAGAGATCAGAAGGACATAAGTTTTGGGTTTTCCTTTTTGAAGTGGTGGTGCAGGGTCTCCTTAGACTCTTCCCAATCTCTTCCTTCCCTCTTACGATTGATGGCCAGCACTGGGGAGGCAGATGACCATTGACCTTTGGCCAATCTTAATCAGGCCCTTGCACTGATGACCACTCTTATGGTTCAATTGTCTTCAATTGTGTTGGACTCTTTGTGACTCCATTTGGGGTTTTCTTGGCAAAGATACTGGAGCAGTTTGCCATTTTCTTCTCCAAAATAGGTCCCTACCCCACTTAACTTTATTTCCCCACCAAGGTCCCTTCCACATAGAGTCAGTCTAGAAAGAGAGTTTAGAAACAAATAGTGAAAGGCTTTAACCGCCAAATATGAGATTGTATAGAGTGGCATCATCAGACCTGTGATTTAGGAATATCAGTTTTATGGTTTCCTTATTACAATATGCTCCTCTTTAGCTCATATTATCATCCTGTGATTTCATTGGTATAGGGATTTCTGGTGAGGAACTCCTTTGACAAATGCAAGCCAGACCCTTTCTTATGCAATTTATGGTTTCAGAAAATTGCCTGGGAACCTTGATAGATTAAGACACTTGCTCGGAATCTCACAGCCAATGTGTTTCAGAGGGTAGGTTTGATTCCCAGTCTTTCTCATTCTGAAGACAGCTCTCTTTTACCTAAATTTTGTCCCAGTTTTAAAGACCTTTCACTACCATGATCGCTCTAGCTTTCAATTTTCTTTTCATTGATTCCTTTAGTATTGATAGCCTAGACCACAGAAAAGAGATCTCACAGTGATACAGCAGATAGAATGCTTGACAGAGTCAGGAAGGCCTGGATTCAAATTCTCCCTTTGACAATGACTAGTTCTGTGATTTCGGGTAGGTTCCTTAACTTCCCTGACCTTCTGGCCACTCTCATTTCAAGCAATAACTTGTAAGTAGGCTGCAATCTACATAAGTGGAGGGCATTCCCATACCAGGAAAATCCTAAATCCTTCATGATGATGAGCTTGCACTTGAGTATGTAAGTAATAGATTTCTTATGAGACACATTTTTTCTGTGGGTGTGTTATTTGCCCTTTTAGATTACAAGTTCCTGGAAAATGGTGTTTGTGTTTTACACTTCTCAAAAACTAACTAGGAGCCCAAAAAAGTAAACAAACAAACAAACAAACAAATAAGCGGGCAGCTAGATGGAACAGTGGATAGAGCACTGGCCCTGGATTCAGGAGGACCTGAGTTCAAATCCAGCCTCAGACACATAACACTTACTAGCTGTGTGACCCTGGGCAAGTCACTTAACCCCATTTCCTAGCCAAAAAAAAAAACCCAACAACAACAACCAACCTCATTAGGGCAAAGCAGCCTGGGCTATACCTGAAGCTGACTTCTGGGGGATACAGTCCCTCCCTGTAGTGATTGGTTCTCAAGCCCCTTCCCTGAATGTGTCACCCTTGGGGATCTCTCCCTTCTTCAAGGCCTGCTTTCTCCTATTATCTCACTGTTCACCTACTGACTTTTCACTTTCCACTGCCTTCTCTGAGTTTGGGGGAGTCAGGGGCTTTGGACTATTCTGGGGGCTAGGGTGGGCTGAAGTCAGTCTGTCTTGTGTATGCCTGGCACCCAACGGGGGCTGAGTGTCTTCTGCTTAACTTCTGCAACTGAATTTACTCTGGGTACCAGAATCCATACTTAGGACTGTAGCTCCTTTTTCAATATATTTCATTTATTTCATTAAATATTTCCCAGTTACATGCAAAAATCTTTAAACATTCATTTAACATTCACTTTTTAAAATTTTGAGTTACAAATTCCTTTCCTCCTCTCCCTCATCTTGAGAAGGCAAGCAATTTGATAACAATTATGTGTGTGAAGTAATACAAAACATATTCCCATATTAGCCACGTTGTAAAAGAAAACACAAAAACAACAAAACAAGAAAAATAAAGAAAGTGAGAAAAGTATGCATGATTGTAGTTTGTTCACGTCTCCCTTAACACCTAGAGCATTGCTAACCATGGACTAAATGAGACAATCCCAGAAACGTGGGGTTGGACGGGCCCTACTAGAATGTTTCCCCAGTTCTTGGTGCAAAATAAGTACTTATTAAATAACTGCGGTTTCATTAGTTGACCTCACTGGTCATCTCCATCTACTCCAACCAATAAAGAAATCAACTTCTCCACAAGCCTTCTCAGCCTTTTCTCGGATTCCAAGAAAAGAGTCTGTTACCTGCCAGGAAGCCTAGTCTATTTCTGGACAGATCTCATGATTAGAACACTTTTCCTTTGACCTGATTTGCTAACAGTTACTAGTAACTGATAACTGAGACAATAGCTTCTTGAGAGGTCTTCCTCTCTCATGCATGCTTCCCACAGCCTCCAAAATGATATTTCTAAATCCAAAAAATATGTCTGGCCAAGTCACTATCTAGCTCAAGAAACTATACTGGCTCCCTATTACCTCCAGGAAGAGGGGGAAAAAAAACCTTCTGTATTGGATATTTAAAGCCCTTCTTCCCCCAACATCAATTTTGTCCAGAATTATTTTGTATTTCATTTGTTGTTGTTGTTCAGTCATTTCAGTCATGCCCGGCTCTTTGTGACCCTATTTGAGGTTTTCTTTGCAAAAATAACTGAAGTGGTTTCGCCATTTCCTTCTCTAGCTATTTTACAGATGAGGAAACTTAGGCAAACAGAAGTAAGTGACTTGCCCAAGATCACACAGCTAGTGTCTGAGGCTGGATTTGAACTCAGGTCTTCCTGACATTAGGTTTAACACTGTGCCCCCCCCCCATATATATACACACATATACATATGTACATACCCACACAAGCACTAGGAATGCAAAAGAAGGCAAAAGACAGCCTTACCCTCAAGGTGTTTACAAACTAACAACATGCAAACAAATACATGTAAAGCAAGCTATATGCAGGATGAAAAGGAGATAATTAATAGAGGGAAGGTACTGAGATTAAGAGGAGTTGGGGAAAGTTTCCTGTGAAAGCTGGGATTTCAGTCACATGTGCTGGTTCCTTCAGGATGCCAGGATATGGGTTATCTGAGCCAGGTGATTTGCACTTCTCAAGGGCAGATGGGTGGTCTCTCACTATCAGCTTAGCCTGGGGATCAATTCTCCGTTTCTATTCCGTTTTTTCCAGCAGTGAGCTCATTCTCCTTAAGAGAAAAAAAGAGAAACTAAAGATTTGGAAGACTTCTGCTTTCTTTGCTTATGTCATTAGTAATTATCTTTTCTTTGCTCTGCTCTTCTCCCCATCCCCCCACCCCACCCCAATATAGCTAAAATAAGCCCATATATTCCCAAATGCTCATGACCATGATTTTTGTAGTAACTAGGTGGCACAATGGATAGACAGAGCACTGGACGTAGAGTTGGGAAGACCTAAGTTCAAATCCAGCCTTAGACACTTATCTATTATGTGACCCTAGGCCAGTCACTTAAATCCCTTCCTGCCTCAGTTTACTTATCTATAAAACAGCAAAAATTATAGCATCTACCTACTAGGGTTGTTGTGAGGATCAAGTGAGTTAATATTAATAAAGGACTTTGCAAACCTTAAAATGTTATATAAATGTTAGCTAGCAGTAGCAGTAGTAGTGGTAGTGGTAGTAGTGGTAGTAATAGTAGTAGTGGTAGTAGTAGTAGTAGTAGTAGTGGTAGTAGTGGTAGTAGTGGTAGTAGTAGTAGTAGTAGTAGTAGTAGTAGTAGTAGTAGTAGTAGTAGTAGTGGTAGTAGTGGTAGTAGTAGTAGTAGTAGTAGTAGTAGTAGTAGTGGTAGTAGTAGTAGTAGTAGTAGTAGTAGTAGCACTAGTACTAGTAGTAACACAGAGCTGAAAATAAAATGGGTGACCATGAATTGGAGACCGGCTGGACGAACTGTGACATACAAGGATGATAAGCTACCTTCTTCTTATAGAGGGGAAGGAAATTGCTCAAGGTCACCTAAGTAGAGGATTTGAACCCAGATCATGAAATAGGAAATGATGAAGAAGAAGGATTCAGAGGGATATGAGAAAATGTGCATGAACTAATGTAGAGAGAATTAAGCAGCACCAGGAGAACAGTGAACCGCAGGAGACCTCCCAAACGAAGCTGAAAATTGAGTAATTCTAATGAATTCTTGGTCCAAGAGAAAAAGTGAAGAAACATACCTCCATTCAATTGCTGGAGAGGCAGGGGGGCTGTAGCGAGGAGTGTTGGCACTCATGTTTATGACATTAGTTAATTTTTGTGGATTGTTCTTTGTTACAAAGGAGGGCTCATCATGTTGAGGGTGGAGGACGAAGAGAGAGAGAGAGAGCTCCATCTTGAAACGTCTGAAGTAAAGGTAAAAACGTCAATAGAATTTATTATGTTTTTTTAAGCTATGAGGAATACTGAACATTCATAGCTTGAGACCGATTTTCGATCTGGACAGAGAACCTCCTACTCAACATCCTATGTCCTTTTTCCTTAGTGCTCCCATGCCTCAGCCATCCCTCAAATGGCAGGCAGCATGATGCAGGGTAGAGGATGCTCCATTTGGGATCAAAGGACTTGAGTTCAACTTGTTTCTGCCACTATCTGTCAACCTTGGGTAAGTCATTTTACTCTTGCATGCTTCCTCTTTAAAATGAGGAGGTCAGACTAGAACAGTGATTCTCCAAGTGTGGTCTGGATGCCCCTAGGAGTTCCTGAGACCCTTTCAGGGGGCCAGCCAGGTCAAACCTGTTTTCATAATAATACCAATGTGTTTTAGTTTCTAATACAGTAAATATTGACACATGGTCTATTTTCACAATAATACTAACATGTTCTCTTTTCTAATTCAGTAAACATTTGTGAATATACATATATATCTTCTTATATATGCTCTCTCTCTCTCTGTATCTCTCCATACATACATACATACATACATACATACATACACACCACCAGATTTTTGTTTAGGAGACACACACATTTATACTACCTAAACAAAATCTACTTAAAGTGGGAGATAGACAGACAGACAGACAGACAGACAGACAGATAGATAGATAGATAGATAGATAGATAGGTAGATAGGTAGATAGATAGATAATAGATAGATGATAGAATAGATATCCTAAACAAAAAAAAAATCCACCTAATTTTTGAGCACAAAGGGATCTTGAGACCAAAAAGTTTGAGAATCACTGGACTAAGAGGTCTTCCATCTTGGAGATTCTGTGCACCTCACATGATTCTCTGCTGTTGTTTGTTCTCATTACAATAAAATCCACGTGCATTAGCATAGCCGAAACACATTCTCAGTCCCTGCTCCATCTGGAGGAGCCTCTCTGTTGCAGTAGTAAGACTTGTTCTGCACTTGTGTTTCCGTTACTTGGGGCAGCCTCTGGCTCTTGACCTGGTTTCTACTCACTCTGCATTCCTGTGGTTATCTCCTCTTCCTGTTGGTGTAGGGTGAATCCCACACTCGGGCCCCAGGACCCCAGTCCTTCCCTCCTTCATCCTGTCTCCCCTGTATCTTTGCAATACTTTTTTTTAATAATCATACATTATTAAAATAAAGCTAGAAAGGGGTTTTTTTGGTAAATAGCTTTGAGAGGTCCTCTCCTTAACATCCTTGTAGTTGAGCCAAGACTTGCTCAAGCTACTACATTCCCTCCCAGGGAAGGGCTCAGAAGATGTCGTCAGGTATGAGTCAGGCCTGACCTTGGACCACATCATCATCACTGTCCGAGTCCTTCCGTGTACGATGGACCTTAACAATGTTTGGAACAGCGCGAAATGATTTCCAGTGACACACGAGGTGGCACAGACACCTGCGGAAAGGCCCCAGCTCACCCTCCTCGAGAGAGCTCTGCTGGGTCCTCTGCGCCCTCCTGACTACGCCCCTGGCTTCTCTGCCTAAGGACTAGATTAAACTCTGGTCCAGACCCCCGGGTGACTGGGCTTTATATGGGCTGGGCACATCCTCGAGTGGGGAAGAGGCAGAGGTTACTTACAATAATCATTGCCTCCCTGCTTCAAAGATTAATTACCCAGCATTCTTGATTTTCTTATCAAGAAGTAATTCAGTTAGCCCAGCTGAGGTCCTAGGATATCAGTTTGCTTTTCTCACTGCTTCCCACTCCCAACATAGTGTTTTCTTCTTGGGCACCTAATCCCTCCTCTTCTTGAAGAGAATGGGATACAGGTGAACAGTCTCTGGTTGGGTCGATGGCTGCAGAAGCAGAACAAGGGAATCCTAGGGGTAGAGAAACGGCATCTACAAACAGACATTAGAGGAAATGGAGAAGTGGCGAGAAATGGGCTGATTTGCATCAGTCCTGACTCTATACTTGTCCCCAAAGCACTGAGGTTAATTCTAAGGTTCTCTCATAACAGTTCCAAGTCATATTTCCCCTCTTTTCTTTCCTTCCTTTCTTTTTTACACTTTCTCTTTTTCTTTTTATTAAGCACCTACTGTGTACTAGGTACTGTGTTAGGGCTAAGGATTCAAAGACAAAAAGGAAACAGTCTCTTTCTTGCATTCAGTTATAAAAAAGAATCTCTTTCCTCTTTTCTCTTTTCAGCCTTTTTTCTCTTCTTTCTTTCCTTCCTTCCATCTTTCTTTCTCCCTTCCCTCCCTTCCTAATTTACTTTTTCCACTGGTTTTTCTCTTTCTTTATTTCTTTCTTTCCTCCCTGTATTTTCCTCATGCCATTTTCCTTCATTTCTATCTTTTTCCACTCTTCTCTCTGTCCCTTGCTCTCCTTTCTTTCTCTCCTACTTTCTTCTTCCTTCCCCACTTCCTTATTTTCTACCTTTTTTTCTAATCTTCCTTCTACCTTTCTACTCTCCCTCCATCCCTTCCTTCCTCTCTCCCTTCCTTCCTCATTTCCTAACTTCCTCCTTCCCTTTCTTCCTTCCTTTCTCTCTTTGCTTCCTTTATTTTTCCTCTTTTTCCTTCCATTTTCTATCCTTCTTTCTGTCTCTTGTTCTCCTTTCTCTTTCTCTCCTTCTTTCTGCTTCCATCATTCCTACCTTCTTTCCTCTTTCTAATCTTCCTCCCTTAGGGGCAGCTAGGTGGTGCAGTGGATAAAGCACCAGCCCTGGAGTCAGGAGGACCTGAGTTCAAATCTGCCCTCAGACACATAACACTTAACAGCTGTGTGACTCTGGGCAAGTTATTTAACTCCATTGCCTAGCAAAAAAAAAAACAGTCTAATCTTCCTTCCATTCTTTCTTCCTCTCTCCTTCCCTCTTTTCCTGCCTCTCTCTTCTCTCTTTTAATGTCAAGGTATTTGCCAAAGATGAATCTAGAATGACACAATTAGGTTGTAAAGATGCCAATCATAAAACTGAACTCAGCTGATGGGCCCCTCCTGGAATATCCAAATAATATTGCTTTGGGGTCACTTCCAGAGTGATTCTTTTATTTGAATCTAAATCTTTCCTGAGGCAGGACAGGCCTTGCTAATTTAATCGTCCTTTAATGGTGTCCTGGGAAAGTAAGACAATTATAACTCATCAAAAACAAGTCAATATGAAGACTATAAAGTCATTTGGACTTGGATACATATTAACAAAGGACCAAAGGCCATACAGACACCAGATTCCAGTGTGGTTATTACAGAAGCTAACTGTAAATCCTTTTTACCTTTCTGTCCCCATAGGTAGGACTGTTACCTGTCTTCTCACCCAAAGGATGTAGTAGGGAAGTCATTCTCAACAAAGCTGGGGAAACTGGGGAATTTGGAGAATGACCATCACATCTGACCTGGTCAGCACTAACCAGTGCCTCCAGGGGATCTGAGTTCTGATTGGATCACCTCTTTTTATGATTCTAGGTCACCTAAAGATCCTGTCTCATGCCTGGCCTCAGAGTAAACACTGTAGAGTTAATAGCAACAAGGATCTAATTAGTATGAGAACATCTGGGCTATAGGAGGCCAATCTATAGGTGGGTTTGGAGATGCAAGAATAAGAAGAGAGATAGTCATAGAACAAAACTCAAGAGGAGTTTGGATAACATCTCATCCAGCTCCCTCTTATTCTGGGTAAGGCAGCTTAGGAGAGGAAGTGATTGGCTTAATGTCACATCAATTAGTGTTAAGTAGTTGTTCCTCATTATGACCTCATCTGGGGTTTTCTTGACAAGGATGCTGGAGTGGTTTGCCATTTCCTTTTCCTGCTCATTTTACAGATGAGGAAATTGAGGCAAACAAGATGAAGTGACTTGCCCAGGGTCTGACAGCTAGTAAGTATCTGAAGCCAGCTTTGAACTACCAAAGTGGGTGTTTCTGGCTTCAGGCCCTGGGGCTCTATGCACTATGGTGCCACCTTGCTGCCCTTAGTGTCAAGTAGACACTTTAGTAATTGGGGTCTATGGGTGAAGCATGCAATCTTTCAGACATGCAGACCTAGAAGGGGGGAGCCAAGATGGCAGAGTAAAAGCAGTGACTTGCTTGAGCTTTCCCCCAAAGCCCTCCAAATACTGGTAAAAAGTGGCTCTAAACAAATTCTAGGGCACCAGAACCCACAAAAAGACAAAATGAAACAAATTTCCAGTCCAGGACAACCTGGATAGTTGATTAGAAAGGTCTATCACGCAGGGCTGGGAGAGGAATGCAGTTTAGCATGGGCTCGCAGACAAAGATTGGCCTCAGCAAACCTGGAGCAGGCCTCAGGAGATTGAATCACAGGCAGCTGTGGCAGTTTCCAGACTTCACAATCCACAAACACCAAAGACAACTCAGAAGGTCAGTAGGAAAGGTGAGACAGGAGCTCAGTTCCAGCCTCAGTCCCTGCACAGACCCAGGGCATGGTAGCTGCTTCTAGAGCTCTCAACCCACAGATGGAGGGGGAGTCAAGTAGCAGACCCCTACCTTAACAAAGAGTTTAAAACTCAAGTAATTGGCTGGGAACATGAGCAAATGTGCAAAAAAAGTCAGACCATAGGATCTTACTTTGGTGACAAAGAAGATCAAAACATACAACCAGAAGAAGACAACAAAGTCGAAGCTCCTATACCCAAAGCCTCCAAGAAAAATATGAATCAGTCCTAGGTCATGGAAGAGCTCCAAAAGGATTTTGAGAAGTAAGAGAAAAAGAGGAAAAATTTGGAAGAGAAATGAGAGTGATACAAGAAAATCATGAAAAACAAGTCAACAGACAAGCAGACCTACTGAATGCTACCCCTGGGTGTAATTACCTCTGGCTATTTTTGTGGGTCAGCATCCACACCTATTCACTGCTTTTGAGCCCCCACCATGCATTTCTTTTACCAGCCATAGGGCAAAAGACACTCTGATAGTCTGCATAACAAAATAAGTGATTTGAAAAAAGATTATTGTCATATATCCGCAGGTTACCATACTGCCAATGTGGTACTGTTATACACATAAGGAATGAGCACTGTGAGTTACATGTGTAGAGCACACCTATGAGCAGAGTATACATGTGTGGTCCTGTGGAAAGAGTTCTGGCTCTGAAATCAAAGGACCTGAATTCAAATCTCAACTCTTACGCATATTTTCTTATACGACCTTGAACATCTGCTTTGCTTTAGAGTTCCAGAAAGCATGTTCACAAGCCCCTCAACCAGACACACTCAGGCAATTAGTTATAGAAGCCCTGAGGCATTTTTAAGTCTACCTTTAGAATTGACCCTTTCCCCCTCAATTTTGGACTTATTCAGTTCAACTTTCATTTGAATGGTGTCCAGAAATTTTCTTTTAATTCCTATTATATTCCCAGTGTGGGTAAAAGGTTTCTAGGAGCTCCACTTAACAAAACTTTAAAGAAGCTAGGTTTCACTATGGTGAGCAAGAGCCTTCTCAAAAGGTTCCCCCATCTCCCATCATGCTCCATGGTCCCATGCAAAGCACAGAGTATAAGCCTTCTGGAGAGGACCAGAAAGGGCTTCTGACCTTTACCCTACTTCCCACTAGCAATCCAAATCACTTGTCTGTGTACCAGGAAAACGAGAAATACCCTTAGAATGCTCTACCAAGATTTACCAAGGCAGTGAGCTCCTCAAGCAAAAGGTTTTTGGGTGACATTTTGCTTGGGAATCCAAAAATCTAAACCTCATCTCTGGAGATGGTGGATTGCCAAAGAATGATATTCCTTCTAACTTCTATTGTCTTTAAAGTTGTAAGTAGATATCCATTCTATAAGGGCAAGGGTTGGACTCATGATTTTAGAGGAGAAACTCCACCTACCAATACAGGTGGGCACCTTCCTTGCAACTTAAAATCTCAGAGTTGTCTAAATCACTGAGAAGTTAACTGGCTTGCCCAAGGCAACTCAACTAGTAAGTGTCAGAGGCAAGATTTGAACCCAGTTCTTCCTGACTCCCAAGGCCAGCCCTTAATCCGTTCTACCATATTGCCTCTCATTACCATCCTACGTGAGAACATAAACTATGAGGCTTATGCACACATCAATAGGATTTGGTTTATGGCCTGGGGAGGAGTCAGCTATGTTGACAGTCTAACTTCTATCATTTCATCCCAGCCTCCCCCACCCCACATTCCTTTCCCTAGTTCCCTCCCTCCCCACCCCAGAGAGTGAGGATGGCGACTTCTCACAGCCCTCTCTCACTTAAATCCAATTCACTTGCAAGCCATGACATTACCTTTTCAAAGTCCAGAACACAGGACAAACAACTACAATCCTTCCCTCTCAGGGCAAGGCTGGGTTCAGAGATGGGTTTTCCAGGCTTAGGACTTGATCTGTGCTTCTCCCTCAGTGAAGCTGAGAACTGAGGTTAGGATCACAAGATATCATAATCTGTCCCTTGGAAAGCAGGGGCTGGGGCTGGGCCTTGGCTCTTAGGAGTCGAGACGTCATGGAAGGACAACAAAGCTTCTCTCCTCCACCCCCAGACGCAGCCTAAGAGTCTCCCCTTTTTCACCCCTGACCTATCCTCACTGAGCAGGAGCCATCCATAGTGAGACAGGCAGGCACAATAGCAAAGCTTCGCTGGGGACAGTCCCAGGACAAACAGAAGATGTTCAGGGGGTCATCTCAAGAGCTATGGCTGGAACACTGGATGGGATCCAGGCTAAGGTTCAAAATGCACATGTTACACGTTTCTTTTTTAGAGAGGGTTATTTTCCAAATGCACTTAGTTGACCCAAGTCAAAGAGAAAGGCTATTACCAAAAACAATGAAAAAGGAGAATTACTGTTTTTTTTTTCCTGGTAGAGGTCTTTGTTCTTGAAATTGGGGTTTGAATATACGGCCATTGTGATGAAAGGTCATTATGAAACCTCCTATAAGCCTCTCCTCCACAAAATAATTTTCTTTATTCAGTGAGTTATTTTTAAACCTTCTTTAAACTAGGTCCTTAAAAAAATGTACCTTTTAATTTCTTAAGGAAGAAAAAAAAAGATGAAATGCTTATAGTGTCCCATAATTCAGAAGCTAATGGATGGCTTTAGGAATGTATTTACCTTCCAAGTTAGAAAGGAAACCTGACTGATGGTTTTCATGCAGGACCCCTGGAAGCTGATCACTGGAACTCCATAGGCAAGATACCATTAGATTACAGGGAAGCTACTTAACCTCTATCTTTCTCCATGTGTAAATTCAGAAGATAAGTGGCCTACCTCACCGTATTATTTCCAAGATAGACTCCCTAAGAGATGGGAAAGCACTTTACAGTTATTAAGGGCTCAGTAATTACCAGCTCTGCATTCACTCCCATGCAGGATCCCAAAAATACATCCTCTGACTTCTAATCTAAGCAAAACGGTGTTATTTGGACAAGAATGCGGCAGCAGTTGAAGGCGGTCTCGAGGGCCTGGGGCTTTATTGAAGAAATCTGAAGGACCAGTTGTTAACACGTTGATGGGGAAAGCAAAAATGGGAACGACATATTTCCTTTCTTCTGGTCTGAACATTTCAATCTGAACCTACTGAAGAATAGTCTATCATTAAAAATACAATTTACTGAAGTAGAAAATGGAGTTTTCGGCTAAATGCTTTTTTTTTCATTTCTAGATGTTTGTATAATACTTTGAAACAACAATTTCCCACAATCCAAGGTAAAATTACCCTCAGCCCAAAGTGAGGTCCACTTTGAATTGGCATCATCGGTATCAATTAGCTACAAAGAAGGCTCCCCACGATTTGGAATTTTGCCATTTTTAAAAAATGACTAAGCTATTCAAACCATTTGACCCAGCGATATTACTGCTAACTAAATAGAGAGTCCAGGATAATGCTAAAGAAAGACCAACATATTCATAATGGTACTTTTTGTAGTAGCAAAAAAATCCCCTGGAAATTAACTGAAAAATGGCTAAGCAAAATGTGGGTTATTACAAAATGGAACTTAATTACATTTATAATGTAGTAGCATTAAGCCCTAAGAAACAATAAATACGAAGACTATAGAGGAGGAAGAAAGATGGATGAACTGATATAGGCTGCAGAAGAAGTACAAGGAAAATATATGTAATGTACAGGACGCAGAGTAAATAAATGTATAAGAAAAAAAAGCAAAAATATGTAACTGAATATTGTGGAATTATAATGATCAAGCTTGACCTCCAAGGAGTCCAGGTCAAAGAAATATACCTTCTTCTCTTCTTGGCAAACATGGAGGATGACGGGTGTGGAATATCACCTCCATAGCCATGGTGGATAGGTTCGTTTTGATGAGTTACTTTTTTCCCTTTTTCTGTTTTGTTTTTTGGTACAACAGATGGTTTCTGGATAATGGAGAGAGAATGGGTATATTGGGAAGTAAAGATGATGTAAAAACAGAAGACATCCATTTAAAAAAAAGTTTTCCTAATCAGTATGGTTACTACAGAATCTCAGCATTGGAAGGTGCCTCACAGGCCCCCTAGCTCAGCCGGCCCCTTTATAACATCTCTGACCCATCGCATTTTTGGGTAACTAATTGTTAGCAAGTTTTTCTTGACACCCAGCCTAAATTTGGGTGTGCACCATCCACCCTTTCCTCCTAGTTCTTTTCTCTGTGTCAGAGCTTCCTGTGTCCATTCTTTACTCCATATGACTTAAAGACAAATACTTGAAGGTAGCTAAGTCTCCTTTCTACGGGATGTGTGGCATGAACGTGAAGTCCTTCCCTGTTCCGGCTATGCTCAGAGTGGACTCTTCAACTGCCACCAAGAAACTCTGGAATAATGCCAAGTACAAATGAATGTATGTGATTTGAGCAATCAGTCAACTTCTTTGTTTGTTTTGTCACTCACTCAGTCATTTAGAATAAACACTATTTATTGAGAGTTTATTATGTGTAAAGGTCTGCGAGCTATAGCATGGAATGAAAAGAAGTAGAACATAAGAAGGCAAGTCAAGAAGCATCTTTTAAGCCCCTTATATGTATCAGGCACTATGCTAAGTGCTGGTGATACAGAGAAAAGCAGAAGAAAGCTGTTCTGTGCTCATGGAGCTCCCAACATGCCAGCAAAACAATTATGTACAAACAAAATGCACAAAGGATAATTGAGATAATTCTAAAGGGAAGGCACCAAGACTGAGGTCTGAGGAAGGATTCTTGTAGCTGAGACTTGAAGGAAGCCAGGAAACGGAAATGAGAAGAGGGGACATTCCCAGAATAGGGCCAGCCAATGAGGATGCCTGGGCTTGGGAGATGGAATGATCCAGGAACAGGAAGGAGGTCAATGTTACCAATCCCAGAGTGCTTGAAAGGGAGTAGGATGTGTGAAGCCTGGAGAAGGAGGAAGATGCCAGGTTATAAAAGGCTTTCAAAGCCAAATAAAGGATTTTATATTTGATTCTGGAGGTGATAGGAAGCCATTGGGGATTATTGAATGGGGGTGGTGACATGGTCTGTCCTAGGCTTTAGGAAGATCAGTTTATAGCTGAGTGAAGAAGGGTCTGGAGTGAGGAGAGAGACGAAGCAGGGAACCCACCGGCAATATAGTCCTGGTGTGAAGGGATGTGGGTTTGTGCTGGAGTGAAGGCAGTGTCAATGAAGAGAAGGGAGCACATTCAAGAGATTTTATGAAGAGAGACAGGACAAGACAGGACAAGAGACAGGACACCTATTAGATGATGAGACTGAGAGAGAATGAGGAGTGGAAGATGACATGGAAGTTGTGATCCTGAGTGACTGGGACGATGGTGTACAATAAGAAAATAATACCAGAGGGGAAGGTGGGAGGGCATAGCTCCTGTCTTCAAGAGACTTATAGTCTAGCTGATGAGATGACATATCAAGCAACTCATAATAAGGGACACCTGGACAATGTGAGCAATGAGAGTTAGGAGACTTCAGAAGGAGAGGTCCCTTTAAGCTAAGAGAGTCGGGCAGGAAGAGGCTTCACAGACAAAGCAAAGAATTTGACTTGGACCTTGGAGAATGAGCAGCATCCTTTGAACACGCAAGAGAAGTAGAGGTAGAAGAAGCCTGGCACAGTCACAAGAGTGATGGATCTGGAACCCAAGGACCTGGGTTCAAATCTTGGCTCTTACACTACCTGAATGACCTTGAGCAATCTCAATCAATTCACAAGTGCTTATAAAGCCCTTACTGGGTGAAGGTCCTGAGCTGGGTGCTGGGAACACAATGCAAAGAACAGAGAAATTTCTGCCCTGAGGGAGTCACTTCCACTCCCTAGTACCAGGAAGTTCAAAGAGATTATTTCTGAGGTTCCTTACAGTTCTAAAAGTATGATGATATTATAAAATGGATTCTCTGGCTCGTTCTCTCAAGGGCAGGCAGGCAGGCAGGCTACATCTCCCGCAGGGTACCAAAGCACCCTGAAGGTCTTGGAATGGCTTTTATCAAGCTCCCACTAACTGTGTTGCCCCCATTATTAGGGGCCTAGTGACTAGCACCCCCATTTAACCGCTTAACATCAATTAACTTTTTTAATGTTTTATTTTTCCTAAATAACACGTTAAAACAATTTTTAACTCTTTTTTAAGTTTTGAGCTGCATATTTTATCCCTCCCTTACTTCCCTCCCCCTCCCTGAGATGGTAAGCAATCTGACACAGGTTATACATGTCCATTCATGTAAAACATTTCCATATTGGTCATTTCATCAAGGAACTTTAAAAAATTTTTCAAATAGTATTTTATTTTTTCCCCAGTTACATGTCAAGAAAATTTTTAGCATTCATTTTTTACAAGATTTTACAAATTTTTCTCCCTCCCTCCCTCTCCTCCCCTCTTCTGAAAATGGTAGATATTTTGATATAGTTTATATATGTGCTATCATGTAAAAATTATTTCCACATTAGTCACAGTTGTGAGAGAAGAAATAGAATTTTAAAAACCATGAGAAAAATTAAAGTAAGTGAAAAAATATGCTTTGATCTGCATTGAATTCATCAGTTCTTTGTCTGGACGTGGGTAGCATTTTCCTTCATGAGTCCTTTGTACTTGTCTTGGATTATTGTGTTGCTGAGAAGAGCTGAGTCATTCATAGTTGATCATCACATAACATTGTTGATACTGTGTACAATCTTTATCTGGTTCTGCTCAGTTCACTTTGCATCAGTTCATTCAAGTCTTCCCAGGATTCTCTGAAATCAGCCTGTTCATTGTTTCTTATTGCGAAATAATATTCCATTATATTAATATACTATAGCTGGTTCAGCCGTTCCTCAGTTGATGGGCATCTTCTCAATTTCCAATTCTTTGCCACCATGAAAAGGGCTACTGTAAATATTTTTGCACAAGGAGGTCCTTTTCCCTTCCATTGATTAACTTTTACAAAAGGAGAGTAACTTTAAAAATTACAAACATGTCCTCTAGCATCAGTGACCCTGGAATACATCCACAACCGCAGTCTCGAGAACAGGAAGCTCAACTGAACTCAATTTCTGCAGTGTTGGTTCTGCTAAATTTGCATTCAAAGGTTGCATCTCCTCCCAATAAGTCCTGGGCTCAGCTTTCATTGGACACCTGAAGGGCTTTCTGAAGACCTCTGATTGCTCCTTAGGGCATCCATGCTGGACTGGCTGCACTGTTTGGGATGAATTCCACCTCCTGTATTCCTGGGGCTTGTTCTCTTGACCTCATGAAACTCTCAAGAGCAGAAACTCCATTTCCTTCACCAAACCCCCTATGCAAAGAAATCACCAAGATTCCCCAAAGTCAAATGAGGCAAAGAGACCATAGCTGAAGCTGATAGGGCTTTTCAAATACCTCCACAGCCCAGTTCTAGAATGTCTACACATGTTTCACAATCTGTCTCTCCAATGCACATTATCATGATTCTCCCCGAAGCAGCCTTCTCAGGTTCTGCATGGAGAGAGATACTCTTGTCCCAGGCACTCTGTTGAATGCATCATATCTCCATTACAATATGAAAGATTGGAGGGGTTCTTCCAAATCAAAGATGGGAAGGGGAAAGATCCATAAGAATAGCAAGCTGGGTTTTTTTTTTCTTAAGTTGGTTCAAGGAATGATTAGATGATCTATTCAATGTTGAGCCCTAATATCACACATAGACATATGTACAAATATAAAATATAAAGGGTTGTGAGAGAAGATATGAAACACTCAGAATAAACTGGCAAAGCATATTCAAGAGCTAGCTAAGGATATCAGACTTTTCAGCTTTTAAAACGTGCTCAAAGTCATTGTTTTCTATTTCAAAAGGAAAAATAAAACCCCTAGTCTCCACGCAGGAACTGGAGTGTAGGTCACTCTCAGTGACCTAGGGCAGCACAGAAAAATGCAGAAAGTCTTGGGACTGAATGTGTGGAATTCCAGGCCAACCTGGTCTCCCAGCGTAGTGTCCCAGCAACAGAGGGACCTTTTGGGGCCATTTAGCTTAGCCGCTCCCTTCCGCGGGTCATTAGGTCTCTGTTTACTCTCGCAAACAAATGGTTTTCAGTT